TTAACTTTCTCATGCTCTTTCTCTTCTCCCTTTTCCCAGGGTGTGCATGTTGAACTTCCTTCTCACCCAAGTCCAGGGTGGCACATGGACGTGAACACACTATTGGAGATGGCACTTTTAATTCTTCGGCCCTAGAGAAGAAGCTGTGTAACTGCTATCTTGTGTACAAATGCAACAGCACTTTCCTGCATTTCATTTTTGGTCCAGTTCTGTTTCTCTCGGGTGGAAGTAATGTAAAACTTTTTGTCTCACTGGACTGAAGACATCATTGAAATTTCTTTTTGAAGTATTTACCCAAAGACCAAGCTGGTGATAAAAAGTATTTTCTTTGCAATTATACAGTGAGACTTCATGAATTTATGGCTAGTTGCTAAGGAACTGGCACCACGACGCCAGCGGGAATTCATGTCTGGCATGCAGAGTTTCTGCAGGGCGCCCTGCTGTGTGGCTCATCCATCTCACACCGGGTGACGGGCATGGCTCCTTTCAGACAGTCTCCTGATAAACTTGCTGATTATATTTTGACAAGCTGAATATATATATTTTTTAAATTCCAGAGAATGACAAGAGCTTATTCGCCGTGATAAGCAAAGTCCTTGGATTTGGCTCTGGAAATCAACTAAGCACAGTATATTTTAAGAATTCACACAATAAGCCAGTAAATGACTGAATATGTGTGCTAAGCACTTTGAATATTATGTGGTAAGCATTATAAACCATGTTACAGACAGCAGACTGAGGGTTAGGAGACCAAGTTCTAACCTAGTCTATGTTCTAAAGATATGACCTTGAAAAATATTTTTTCTTCACTCGACCTCCATCACAACAGCTGTAAAAAAAGGAGTTGGGGGGGGGGGGGGGGACTTCAAGTGAAGCAGTTTTTCTATCTTGTTCTACAGTTCAGTGATAATATGAAGTAAGGGGTAAGCGCCCAATGAGAGGATACAAATGCATTTTGCAGGGTGAGAGGCTCCTGGGGGCTAACACAGGAGCAGTCAATTGGCCAGAAAAGAATGAGGCACTCCCCTTGGGGGAGGAGCTGGGCTGAAAATATAAAGCCTGATCCAATCTCAGGGATGTTAGGGAAATTCCAGTATGAAATAACAATGATAATGACAGCTAACCAGTTCAGTATTTATGTACTAAGGTAATATGTATTATCTCATTTAATTTCCATAAAAGCTCTAGTTATTATTATTCTTGTTTACAGAGGAGAAAACAGAGGGATAGAAAAATTAAGAAGTTCCATAAGGTCACACAGCCAGTGGTTAGAATCCAGATGTGGGCCGGAGCAATCTGACACCCCTGAGAATAGCTTCTAATTGTTGTTACGTCAGTCACACGTGAAAGTCAGCAATAAAATCCCCCACAGAAGCACTGTAGTTTAGATGCAATTGCCTGGAAAACCAGCATAACCAGAAAATAATAGGCCGCCAGCAAGCAGAAGAATGGCAGTCACCTTTCGCGCAGTACCATCTGTGTGCTTTTCATTTATTATCTCTAACCTTCATGGGCATTTTTGATATACCATTTACCCAGATCTTAACCCAGATTGTTAAGAAATTTGGGTTCAGCAAGTTCAACTTGTAATAGGTAGAGGGCTGTTAGGTGGGAGGGTGGGGGTTCAGTCCTGAGTTTGTCTAACTTCAAAAGTCTTTTTATTCCACTATGCCATACTGGCTTCTTGGCAAGAAAAAACTATTTGCAAATATTAAAACCAGCTGTATCCTACTGTAACTTTCATTTATATGAAATTCTAGAGCAGGGAAAATGAGCCTGCAGAGACAGAGAGGAGACCAGAGCTGCCTGGGGCAGGGGAAAGGAGGGGATTGACTGCAATGGGACACAAGGACATTTTTGGAGCTATGACAAGATTTTATATCCTGATTATGGTGTTGACTATATTTGCCAAAACTCATTGAACTGCACACTTAAAATAAGTGTATTTATTATATGCACATTATATAGTAATATAATAAGTTGATTTTTAAAAAAACTCAGCTGACTCCAGTGTTTGGTATCCTAGACAGAAGCTGGGGCCACTGTCACTGTGATCTCATATGTCTGGGACTGTCACAGTGATATAAAGCACGAGGTCTCAGCATCCATTCCAGCACCTTCTATACTACCTTCTTGTACTGCGCAGGCTAAAAAGCTGCAAGTTACGTTTCCCTGACTCCTTTACAGCTGATGTTCAGACTCTGAGTTAAATACACTGAAGGGACCTGAAAAGCAGGAGTGACACCAGAGGAGTGTTATGAGTCAGTGAGTCCAAGGATGACAGTGGCTTCATGAGCCTGACTGCCACTGTGGCCGTCATACAAGAATTCAGACAGATGATTTTCCAACACTCCTGACTTCCTGCTTTTAGGTCTGTGGCAGGGGCAATAGCTTCTCTGGCAAATCTGTTTGATAGTTATCTCCTGGGACTTATTGCTGGAAGTTCATTTAGGGACTGTTCCTCTAGCTCTCCAATTATTTTGCAGGCATCCAATGAAATCCCTTTCTACCTGTAATTGTTTGATTCATTTGCTTCGCTGGAACTATACACTGACATTGTGAAGTATGGTGTGTGGTTACATTCATAATGGTAACTAAAATAATTACTATCGTCATCAGATTAATAACAACTTTTACTGAGTACTGACTTTCTGCCAAGATAAACACAATGAGGGACATGCAGGGGGTGGCTCTATTTTTTTCTCCATCCTACACAAGCTCTGTGAGTAGATCTGCCCACCACTCCATGAGTGAAATGAGGTAGGTCTTCTAACTTTTGCAGTCACTTTGACATCATAAAAAGTCCTCCAATTCATTCAGTCCCCGAAAGGCTCCCATTTCAGTCATTAAAAGGTCCATTCCATTAGCATATAACCCAATGCTTTCATTCCATTTAAAGCTATTTACAACTCTAGCTTGAGCTTTCTTAGGGACCGAAAGCCTGTCATTCTGAGGAAGAGGAAATGATTGGCTTCTGCTCCATTTCTCTGGAGGATGTTTCTTTGTTTCCCTCCCCCTTTCCATGTCCCATCCGCCACCAGACTGCCTTAGGATCCTCTGGGTGTAGGGAGTAGTAGGGAGAAGGTGATGATAGTCTCTACAAAGAGTCTCTCAACTTGCCTGGCTATCACCTGGCACTGCAGCTCTCTGGGTATGGCAGACCCCAGCACTGATTTTTGCTCTGCTGTCCATGGGGGTGCACCTGGGCTCCTGCAGCCACTAGTCAGGCAACTTCAGCCGTAGCCTTCCACACTTAGTCTCTAAGACACGAGTCAAACATCAATTCCCACTTCCCTTGAGCTCTCAGAAGGGTCCCTGTCAGCTGACTTGAGGTGAGAGGGCAGCACTCCTCTTGCCTCCCACGAGGTGCAGGAGGAAAACTCTCTCTCAGAAAGATGCCTCTCTTTTTGGCTTTATCATGGCCTTGCCTGTGCTATCTCGAAAAGACTCATATTCTGTAGCATGTCTTACACGTGTGGGTTAGCGACTCACTTTAGAATGTGGAGGTCCTCTGCAATTACTCGCTTTGTTTTGGGTCTGTGAAGCCACGAAACGTAGTCTCTGACCCAGATTGAGACAGAATGCCGTTTCAGCATCCCAACAACACTCCAAGGTGGTGACCGGTGCTCCCATTTTAGAGACACATTGAGGTTCATTTCAGGTTCCAAGTGAGGATGAGAAACACATGAAGGGCAGGAAGGGGACTCCAGCACAAATGAGTACAATGGGGAGGCCTTTGCTGTTAACCGTTAGGACTACCCAGGCCTAAGCAGAAGTAGGTTCACAGTCATGAGTGACATGTGTTTTTTGAGTTAATAAAGCCATTGTAATGATCATAACCTGCATGTCTTTTCCATACGAACAACTGCAAAGCTACTTTTCCCCTTCCCTGTATGTGGGACACTACCAACGTTGGTGATGTGAATTACATCACCACCAACCTTGGGGGAACTACATCCCCCAAAGTTTACATATTGAAGCCCTAACCTCCAGAGCCTCAGACTGTGACCTTACTTGCAAACAGAATCTTTGCAGATGTAATCAGTTAAGATGAAATGATACTGAGGGTAGGGTAGGCCTCTACTCCAATATGACGGGTCTCCTAATAAAAAAGGAGAAAATCTGAACACAGACAGGTACACAGAGAGAAAGCTACGTAAATATGGGTGTTAAGCAGCTACAGGCCAAGGAACTACCCAAGTTAGGAGAGAGGCTTAAAATAGATCTTTCTCTAGTGTCTTCAGGGAAAGCATGGTCCTGCAGATGCCTTAATCTTGGGCTGTGAGCCTTCAGGTTATGAGACGACATATTTCTGGTTTGTAAGCCATTCAGTTTGCAGGGCTCGGTGATGGCAGCCCTAGAAAACTAATAAAACAGCTATGCTACAGCCGTGAGAGTGTGACTGAAATTCTGGCTGAAATAAGTACTGTGGGAGGGAGAGCGCCTGAGCTGCTGAGAGAAGACGAGGTGTTGCAGCAGCTGGAGTGGGGCAGGTATTTGTCCACGCTGGATGACAGAGAGCGGAGCTGGCCACTAGGAACCTTCCGGCAGGCTGTTAGGTAGAAAGCTTCCAAATGAATTTCACTTCCCTAATAATAGAGGATTACTAAATTTACTTTGAAAAACTTTAAGAAAACTAAAAACCCCTACATCAGAACTTTGCATAATTGTATTTGGGAAGGCCTAAAGCTATTAGGGTGGGTCGGACAGGAAGTTATACCTGTAACTTAACTCACAGAACTAGGAGTAAATGAAAGGGCAACATAGTATAAGCTCATCTTTAATATTGAATGTTCTTGATGGCTTTGAGAATAGGAATGCTAACATACAGGAATATTTTAATAAAATTCACTTATACATTCATAGGACCTCCAAACAAATCTCTATAAACAAGTATAGAGATTTTCAAATTGTAATTCATGTAGAATGTGGAGGCACATTTGCATATCCTAAATAAGATACACACATACACATTGTTTTAAAGATTTTAGGTTTTAATTTCCAAAACTACTGACACAAGTAGCACAGATATGCAGTGAATATTAATAAAAATATCTCCAAATCTCAGTGGCTTATCACCACATACAAGTACTTTACACCCACATCTGTCCCGTGTGAATCAGATGGCCCCCTGCAGCCTGTAGCTGTGCCATCGGGAAGGCCTGGCTCCCACTGAAGGGAAGGGAGGGACAGAAAAGGCACACTGGCTTTTAACGGGCTCAGTCCAGGAGAGCCTCACGCCACTTGCGTTCATAGATCATTGGGCAGAACAAGTTAAATGGCCCAACTTAATTGCAAGTGAGGCTGCATAATGTAGGAGAATACCTGGAATATGAGGGGAATACTAATTATCTCTACCATGCAACTATACAAGGAATAAGTGTATAAAATGCACTAAGTCCAAAAGTGAGATGTTAGTGAGAGATCCAATGAGAATTTAATCTCATTAATCTTAATGAAAGGACACTCTGGTGCCTTCCCATCTATATGCAAATTATTACAGCATGACTAATTGCTAAAGTTAAGTGGTGCTCAAGAGCCCCCCATTACTTCTGGTAGTTCCCAGCGGAGTGTCCCACATGTGACCTCTCCTACAAACCCAAGTAAAACCAAAAGGACATAGGGGTTCCAGGACTTGGAAGACAAATAAAAAGCATGAGAAGAGGGTCTCGGCGGAGGGAGGGAGGTCTAGTCTGATGGCAGCTGGCAGGAGCCCTGGGGGAAAGGTGGCTAATGATAAATACACCCCCATGTCAGGGCAGCGATAGCTAACATCCAAGTTTGCCTCATCCTCAACTCCTTCCTGAGCTGCAGTGCTGTCTTGCAGCCTAAATAATGCTAGAAGTCTGCTATCCCAGAGAAAGGGCCTGGCCTTCAGAATTAAAGAGGGTTCATCCCATATTTCACAAAAATTCACTTTTCAGACTGTGTCCCAATTTTTTTTCAAAAAATATTGTCACTGTGCAAGTTCCCTGTAGGAAAATAGAAGAGAAAGGATTTTTTTCTGGGCAAGAGGAAAAGGCCCCATAGAGGGTGGGTGACGGCAGATCTGAAAGCACGTCCAGGCAGCGTATTTTTCTCAGCTTTTGCCAGCAATGTTCTGAGAAAAGAAAAAAAAACATTTTCCATGTTTTCAGTGTATTGTATTTGCATAAATAAATCTTAAGGGTTACCGAAGGAGCTAATAAAATAGCTACTTCAGATGGGGAAAGGGGGGAATAGAGCAGAGAAGGGTAGGGGTAGGAATGAGAATGTTCACTATGTACCCTGTTATATTATTTGATTTTCAAACCATGTGAATATATTATCTATTCCAAACTGTTAAAATAATTAGGGAACAAAGTCTCCCAACCACCACAGCTTTGTGTTCAAGCTACTTTGGGAGAACAAAAGAACCTAATCAGAATCTATCAAGAGAAGCCAGGTAGAGAGTGGGCAGTACCCATAAGCAAACAAACCTGCCAGCACAATCAGGCGATGGGAGCAAGAGGCGGTGAAGGGAAGAGGGAGCCCCTGACTCGACTCCTCACTCCTTAAAGCTCCAGAGATACCTGGGGGAGAACCCAAGGAAGAGGACAGTGAGGCTGAGCTTTCTGCACGTGGAACAGGAGGTGGAATCTGAAAATCTCAACAGAAGAAGAAAGGGTGGTCCTGGAAGGATGGGAGAAGTTGGGGATATCCAGGTGACCAACACTGGGCTTAAACCACCATGATACTCAAGGCCCTTGACAATTTGACCTGATCCTTTTTGGATCCTCTTTTACTAGAGCATTTCTTCCATTGAGCAGCAGTCCAAGGGACACCATTAAGAAACTCACAGTCTGGTTGACAAAAACTGGCTTACAGACAACAAGGTGTTACTAATGCTCTGCTAGGAAAGTGCACAGTTTCAGTGGGGGCACCAGTGAAGAGTGGCCAATTAAGCCTGGGGGAGACCGGGTAATTAGGCTTCATAGTCAAGGAAAAGTGTGAACTAAGTCCTGGACAAGGAATGGATATATGGGAAAGTGGGGGAGGTGAGGAGGACATTCCTGGCAAAGCAATCTGTGCATAGGCTTAGATGACACAAAATGGGGTTTCAAATCTGTGCTGTGCAAGTGACTCCATGTGGTAAAACGATAAACAAATAAAGGAGGAGCTGAGCTAGAGAAGCAAGAAGAGAGTCTTTGCAATGGACTTCATCCTACCAGGGGTGTCCAACCTTTTGGTGTCTCTGGCCACGCTAGAAGAAGAACTGTCTTGGTCCACACATTAAATACACAAACACTAACGAAAACTGATGAGCAAAAAAAAGGTTTTAAGTACATTTACAACATTTACAACTTTGTGTTGGGCCATATTCATAGCCATCCTGGCCTGCATGCGGTCCTTGGGCTGCAGGTTGAACACCCCGGCAACAGTGGGGTTATTATAAGGGTGAGTAAAAGATCCTGTAGATATTTGATAACATGGGCTTCAGTTGTGAGAACTGATGGCATCTACTGGAGGGATGGGGGACTGGAAGTCGGTGAGACGAGTTAGAAAACCACTGCCTCAGAGAGAGGAAAGTTGGAAGGAGCCTGAAATAAGGCATTTGCATTACACATTACCATTCTGCTGTGACTCTGCTAGTTGTGAGGCCTTGGGCAAGTTGCCTAACTTCTCTGAAGCTGAGGTTATTCACCTGCCAAATTACCTGCTTTACAGGGCTAAACAAAACATATATAAAGCTCCATGCACACAGAAAATCCTTGATTAATGGAAAAACTATTATTCCTCAAAGCTAAGAATCTCAACACCCTCACTTTTTTGTGGGAAGCCCTGGGTATTTCAGTTACCTATTGCTGCATAGTAATAAATTATCCAAAAATGTAGTGGCTTAAATCAACAACCATGATTCTGTGGGTTTTCTGGGTGGTTTTTCTGCTTATCTTACTGGGGCTCCCTCATAGGGCTGCATTCAGCCAGTGGCTAGGCCGTGCTAGGAGGTCTAGCACACAGGGATGGTTGAAATGCAGGGACTTAACTTTATCCACATGATCTCTCATTATTCCATTGTCTAATCCAAGTTTTTATATATGGTGGCTGACTTCCAAGACAGTGAAAAGGGAAGTTGCAAGGCTTCTTAAGTTTCACAGATTTATTACTATGAAACAAACCATCCCCATATAACTCTACCATTTACTTGATTTACTTGCTTATGATTCTACAATTTGGGCAGGAATTGGCCATTTAACAGGAACTGATCGGGGCAGCTCAACAAAAACTACAGGATTCAGGGTGCCAGGTTTATTCACATGACACCCCAGCTGGGGTGACTAAAGTGTGGGGAGACTACCTGGATTTCTCTCTCTCTGCTCCCTGTCTTATCATTCAGTAACCTAGCCTCCAATTTTTTATGTGAGGGCCATATCCTAAAAAGTCAAAAAAGAAATTTGCAAGGCCTCTTAAAGTCTACAACTGCTTAGTCATGCTCCTAATTTTCACCTCACTCTGTTGGTCAAAGCAAGTCCCAGAGCTAGTCCAAATTCAATGTAAAGGAAATAAACACCACCTCTTGATGGGAGGATTGGAAAAATCATGTTGCAAAAGGGTGAGTGCACTGGGAGGGGTTAGCTGGCTATCTGGAAATGATCTACCCCAATAGAAACGCACTAGTTTGGAAGATCTACATACTTGGCTACAGATTCTCATTCCATCACTCATTATCCATTTGACCCCAAATTCAGTAAACTCAGATTGACCACCAAATCTCTGGACTGTCTAAGTATGTGGTATACCCCCCCCACACACACTGTGAGCACCTTAAGGGAAGGATTCTGTGGGAGTCATCCCTCTATATTCAGAATTTAGCAGGATGCCTGGCACTTACTAACAGAATAAACCACTCAGTAAGTATGTATCTTGAATTACCAAATAAGGAGGCAATAAATAAATAACAATATTAGCTATTTACTGGGCCCTTCCCACATATCAGAAACTAGTCTAAATGCTTTAGACATATTGATGATTCATCCAAGTGTTACAATACTGTGTGGTAGGCCCCATTATTCTCCATATTCAGACTAGGAATCAAGGTACAAAAGGCTAACCAGTTTGCCCCCAAATGAGTATGTTAGTATGTGGTAGCCTCACTTGGCTCCACTTGATCTGGCTCCCGAGCCTTGTCCAGAGCCATCAGGCTTTGCTGCCTTCATGAAAGTATAAATGTCTATAGTGGGAGGGGATTAAAAACTGATGAAGTACTGGACCTGGAAATGGATAATTATCCCAGACATGAATCTTCTAGAAGAATCATAGTATTCTGGTTAAGAGTACAGTGTATAGACTTCTGAGTCAGACATATTGATTTAAAGTTCAGCTCCTCCAAGTACTATTCCTTTGGATGGGACACTCTCCAAGTCTCATTTTTCTCATCTGAAAAATAAATCTAAAAATAGTACCTATTTCACAGGATTGCGGTGAGACTCAAAAGAGATATGGAAAGTACAGACCTTATCTCAGAGTTCTCACATAATGAACATTTACCATTGGTCACACATTAAGGAATATGGAAATGAAATGGAAAGGCAATGCTTAAAAGAAAAAAATTAGGGTCAGATGCAGGCATATGTATATTATACATGATAAAATTTGCCCCCAAAAAGTTTTAAAAACTTTTTCAATACAATGAAATCTAAGAAGTTGGAAAAGAAAAAACAAAATTCATTAGAAATCCAAGAAAAGTTAGAGCATTAAATATGTCATTTAAGTATTAAAAATGCCATTCTTTTATCAAGAATGCTATGTTGATCTTTTGAAAGAGGTGGGTTATATAAAAATTTTTTTAAATACTACTACAAGCAGAAGACAAATACCATATGATCTCACCTATAAGTATAACCCAACCAACAAAACAAACAAGCAAGCAAAATACAACCAGAGACATTGAAATAAACAACAAAGTGACAGCAACCAGTGGGGAGGAGGAGGAGGGATAACAGGGGAAAGAAGGGGAAGGGTCATCAAGGAACATGTATGAAGGACCCATGGACAAAGCCAAAGGGGGGCAGGATGCAGGGTAGGAGGTGGGGGAGGGTTGGGGGAAAATGGAGACAACTATACTTGAACAACAATACATTTTTTAAAAAAAGAAATAAAATGAAGGGGTGTTAGGTAAGATAGTAAAGTATTATAAATCCCAAGAGTCAAAAGGACAACTTGAAGAGCAAAACACAGAAAGTGATTGATCTTTATAAGAAAGGAAAAGAAAAAAAACCCAGCATGCTAAAAAGCTAATGTCAGTTTTCAATTTAAGGTTCAAGAACACTATAAAGAAACTCAGTATGTAAACACCAAGTGATGAAAGGACAGAAACTTATTGACACAGGTTTTATTAAAAGAAGATCATGCAATCTAAGTTCAATAAGCCTGTGATTGATATCTGATGAAAGAAAAGTCACAGACATGGTCACTGGGGTTGTCTAAATAAATTTTTTTGCACATCAATGAAACCTTTATTAGAAAATTAGCAAATAACTGCTGTGGAAATAAAAAATGATGCATCTTATTAAATTTTACTGACAAAGATGACAGTTGAGAAAATCCTCCTGTAATCTTTTCTCAGCCTGCTGTGTCTTGCCCTTCTCCTTTCCTCACCCTTATTGCCCTCCCTCAGGTGAGGGGGGGCAGCAGGAGGGATAAAAATCTGTACGGCAACTGCGGCGGGTGGGAGCTCCTGAAGTTGCTGCTTCCTTATTTCTATCATATATATAATAGCTACTATAAGGGTTTTTCCCATGTAGAAACTATATATATTTTTTACTTCAAATTATAAATACAAATTGAAGTAGAAGATTATAAGACTGCATAGGTCTTTCTTAAAAAAGGACTTTCATAAAAGAATTGGCTCTACAAGGCTCTAGGGGACTGGAGACTCTTGTACAAGGTGCACGGTGTTCCGTTTTCAGATCATATGTTTATTATACAGCTCTGTAGGCTATAAATGATGCAGCATTATAAGCACTTTTGGAAAAAAAGGCAGGAAAGGTCTTATTTATTTTAGGTATGAGAATGCAAGACTACTTCAGAAAGAGAAGATAAAGTAATATACAAGGCTACTTGGCTTTAATCTACTAAAATAATGGGATTCTCTCATTTATTCAGCAAATATTTGTGAAGTACATAATAATATGTGCCAGACACTGGGAAGACAGCAACGAACAAGACAAAATTTCCACTCTCTTGGGCCTTGTCCTCTGATGGGGGGTGAAACACACAATAAAGAGATGGATGAGTATAACACACAATTGAGTTCTATGAAGAAGGGTAAGCCAGGGTAAAGAATGGAGGGGAGAATTATGAACCTCTTTAGGTTTGTCTTCCCCATTTTTAAAGCTCTAACCCCAGACCAGGAACTTGGCATATATTAAGAACTCAATAAATCTTTGTTGAATGACTACCCAAGCCATCAGTGGTCCCTGGTCAGCATGAGTCTCCAGGGTGTTTCCTAGTGAGTGTGCCAGAGTGTTATGGTCCACAGGGACCAGTGGAATCAAAGAACCTACAAAGGAAACATAAAACCTCCGGGGTC